AATGAAGCTTTCTGAAGCATTGAAGCTTGTGTTAAAAACACTTCATACTAGAAGCTTTTCAGCACATTCCTCTCTGGTGACATCTGGTGGCCAAAATTATGAAGAACAGCTTGAATCTACAAATTAAAGTGTAGTGCTTTATTATGACTGCCCATTCTACAGAGTTCACAGTTCTGTCTGATATTGGGCCACACTTTTGTTGCTTTGAATATGTATGTTTTTTGGGTGAAATAATTATGTCTATTTGTTTAATAGATACATTTGATCAATAAGCTTCCCTTATTTAAACATGTGCCATGGTGTGGTCTTTCTTTAATAATAATAATGTACAACACATTATGAGTATGCTTCTGCTGTGAGTTCCCGCCTCCAGGTACTTATACAATTAATCACTGGACAGCTGGACAGGTATGTTTGTAAATAATATTATTAAAAATAAAATAAACACAATCAAAACAAAGACAAACAACAAGAATAGAAAGCTGGCAAACCCACCCGATTGAGGAAAATCAACTCAAAATACTCCCACACAACAGAACTTCCCCTCTTCCTTGCTGGCTCGGTATCGCTCAGTAGAATGATCGGTGGTTTGTTGTCTCTCACCATCAAAGCACTCCACAAATCCCGCGAATGATCCACTTCCTTATAAACCATCGAATCAGCTACGTTCTAAATGTCACTGATCACATGACTCTGGCCAAACAAATCAAACCTTGACACAGTGCTTCTGAAGCAGTGTGGTTTTTGACACACGTGCCGGAGCGTCAGCTTCAGGTGAGCCATCATTAGATATAATTATTAGCTTTGGATTAGGTATTGTAAGCATATCTTAGAGCAACGATTAAACATAAGTTTTATCATTACTCTAAGGGAGGGAGAGGGAGAGAGAGAGAGAGAGAGAGAGAGAGGCCATTATTCAGGCCATCTTAAACTTGACAAGGTGAATTTGTAGTCTAAGGAAGAAAGTGTATGGAAGCTTTTGGGATGATTTTTGCAGCTGTTCCTCTCTTTGGAAACAGCAATTACACATTTATGTAGAAATGGGTTATCAGACGGTGCTTTTTTTGTATGTAACATGAGATAGCTTGAGATGCAGATAGAAATCCAGATGAGCCCCATGAACGGTCAGTCACAGCTCTCTCATACTGAAGGATATCACCCTGGGTTTAGTTCCCCCACCCCTGTTATAGAGGTTCATTTGATAGTTGGGGTTTTCTCTGTGCTATTGTCTGATCTTTAATTTTCAAAGGATTTTGAGAAAAATGTTGTCGTGATTTGGCACTATATAAATAAAGCTGAATATCGAATTGAAATATGGGCCATATGACCAAACAACTGTGCATGCTGTTAATGATAAATTCAGAACAGTGCTGGGGACACTTTTCTAGTAAAATGGAACTCTGAATATCTCATTTGTGACAGCGAACGTTATAAAGCTTCCATTGCTTGAGCCACAGCAATAATACTAAGGGTAAAGCTCTAACCTTTTTCCATGCCACACCTAGTGGGATGTTATTACACTTAAATTATGACTAATATAGGTGTGTACTTGGCCTCACCTATATTTACACGAAATAACAAATAGCCTGTCTGGTGTGTACTTCCTCGAACTTATACAGTTTGCAAAGCACTATCATGCGAATTTGTGATAGAAATTAAACTTGATTGTAAACAAAAAAAGGCAAACCACACTTCATTTAAACATTTTATTCACCTT